ACATTGGGGCATATTATGCTTTATTATTGCAAGAAAGGTAAAAATGCAACTGAAATGCAAAAAAGAAGATTTGTTGAATGTATGGAGAAGGTGCTGTGACTGACTGAACAAATCAAAAGTGGTTAACAAAGTTTCATGCTGGAGATTTCTTGCAGGACAATGCTCCACGGTCAGATAGACCAGTTGAAGTTGATAGCAATCAAATTGAGACACTAATTGAGAACAATCAGTGTTATACCATGCAGGAGATAACTGACATACTCAAAATATCCAAATCAATGAAGTTATTTCTGAAACTGAAAAATGTGTCATTTATTTTACAGAAAAAAAAATAAAGGAACTCTTTGGCCAACCCAATATATATTGTTTACTAGAGACCCACCTTAGAAAATTCTTATTGGACATAAAGGGGGAAATTGACAGTAATACAGTCATAATGAGGGATTTTAGCACCCCATTATTATCAATGAATAAATATTCAAAACAGAAATCAACAAGGAAACAGTGGCCTAAAATGATGCACTAGATTGGATGGAATTGATATCTTCAGAGCATTTCCTCCCACAGCAGCAGAATATACATTCTTTTCAAGTGTACATGGAATATTTTCTAGGAGACCACATATTAGGACACAAAACAAGTCTCAGTAAATTTAATAATATTGAAATCATATAAAGTGTCTTCTATGGCCATAATGGTATGAAACTAGAAATCAATCACAAGAAAAAAACTGAAAAACACACAAAAGACATGGAGGCTAAATAACATGTCACTAAATAACAACTCGTTTAATAATGAGATCCAGGAAGAAATCAAAGGATGCCTTGAAACAAATAAAAATGAGAACACAACATCCCAAAATCTATGGCACATAATGAAAGCAGGCCTAAGAGGTAAATTCATAGCATTACAGACCTATCTGAAGACACAAGAAGAAGCTCAAATAATCCATCTAACTTTACACTTAAAGAACTAGAAAAATAACAACAAACAAAGCCCAGATGAGTAGAAAAAATAATAGAAATCAGAGCAGAATTTAAAAAATAAAGTATAAAATAACAATGCAAGTCAATGATATCAACAAGATTGAAAAACCTCTAACCAGACTAATCAAGAAAAAACAGGAGGGGACCAAAATTTTTAAAAAATCAGAAATGAATGAGGAGCAGTAACAACTTACACCAAAGAAATACAAAGAATTGTAAGAAAATATTATGAAGAACTACATGCCAACATATTTGACAATCTGGAAGAAATGGATAACTTCCTAGACATACGATATTCCAAAACTGAATCAGGAATAATCAGAGAATCTCAACAGACAGATTACAACTAGAGAAATTGAAGCAGTAATTTAAAACTTTCAGGAAACAAAAGCCCTGACTGGATAGCTTCATAGGTGAATTTTACCAAACATTCAAAGAACTAACACCTACCCTTCTGAAACTATTTCAAAAAATTAAAGAAGAGAAAAGACTCCCAAGCTTATTTTACCAGGCCAACATGACCCTAATTGCAAAACCAGGTAAAACACTACAAAGAAAGAAAATTATAGGGCAACATCCCTGATGAACACAGACGCTAAAATCCACAACAAAATATTAGCAAACTAAATGTTTTAGCCAAATACATTAAAAAGTCATACACTATGATCAAGTGAGATTTATTCCAGGGATTCCAAATAGGTGCAATATTTGCAAATCAATAAACATTATACACCACATAAACAAAATGAGGGATAAAAACCACATGATCATATCAGTAGATGCAGAAAAAGAATTTAATAAAATCCAGCATTCATTTATGACAAAAACTCTCAACAAAGTGAGAAGATAGAACATATCTCAATGTAATAAAGGCCATATATGACAGACCCACAGCCAACAGCTTACTCAATGGGTAAAAACTAAGTGTTCTCCTTAAGATCAGGAGTGAGATATGATGTCCCCTTTCCCCACTCTTACTCCACATAGTACTGGAAGTCCTGGCCACAGAAGTCATTCTAGAAGAAATAAAAGGCATTCAAATTGGGAAGGAAAAAAGTAAAATTCTCATTCTTTGCAGATGACATGATATTGTACATTGAGAACCCAAAGAGTCCACAATAAAACTACTAGATTTAACAAATGAATTCAGCAAAGTAGCAAAATACAAAATTAATATGCAGAAATAAGTTGCACTTTTATATACCAATGAGGAACTCTCAGAAAGGGAAATTAAGAATTCACAATTCCTTCATAACAAATAATACACCTAGGAATAAGGTAAATTTAACAATGGACATAAAAGACCTGTAATTGGAAAATTATAAGATACTGAAGAAAAGAAATGAAAGAATATATAAGTAAGTGGAGGCATACACCATGTTCATGAATGGAAAGTATTAATATTATTAAAATGTCCATACTATCCAAAGCAAAGTAGGGATTCATCAAAATTACTATTAAGATACCAATGGTGTGTTTCACAAAATCAGAAAAAATATTCAAAAATTCTATATGGTACCACAAAGCACCCCCAAATAATGAGGGCAATCTTGAGAAAGAAGAAGAAAGTTGGAGGAATCACATAAAAATCAAACTAAAAGTTTAATTCTAAACTTTTCAATCACACTATCTGAAATCAAACTGAAGTAATCAAAACGGCGTGGTACCTGCATGAAAAAGCACCTATAGATGAAACAGTATCGAGAGCCCAGAAACAAATCCACGCCTTTATGGTCAGTTAATATTTGGCAAAAAAAAAAAAAAGGCAAAACACACAACAGGGTAAAGATATTCTATTCAATAAATAATGTTGGGTAAATTGGACAGATACATGAAAAAAAAAAGAAACTAGACCACCTTCCTATACCATACTCCACAAAAGAAAACTCAAAATGGATTAAAAACAAGCATCAAATTCAAAACCATAAAAATCCTAGGGGAAAACAAGCAGTACAATCTTGAAAATTTCGGGTAGCAATATTTTTCCTGATATATCTCCTTGGGCAAGGGAAACAGAAGAAAATTTTGCTGGCTGTGGTTAGGGTTTACAAAACATGCCATCTGTATTACAGAGATCAGGGTATTTTAAAACACCCAGATAATCAAATTGTGCAAATTTTGTCAATTTTCTATATTGTTAAATTACATAGTTAGCTATTTTTGATTTTTCCATTGACAAATATTTACTGAGTATTTTCCTGTAAAGTATTAGGGATTTTTAAATGTCTAAATTATGGTCTCTTCCCACAAAGTTTACAGTCCTCTTGAAAAACGAGGTGCCTGTGCATTAAAGTTGAAGATTTTAGTTCAGTAGGTTCAGGATCATGAATTTGAGAGAGAGAAAAAATAGCTGTTTAAGCTGTTACCATGTTGTATCTGAAGTGAAGATGTGATGTCCCAATTTAATTGAGGCCTTGAGCCATAGGACAAAAGATGGTAGATAGAGTTAGCTACATAAGGGGTTTTATACACACTAATAAAAAAAAAGTAGAATACTTGCACAATCTGTAAGTCTTACTCCCTGAACAGTAAGTATATTTGAAATGTTTTTTAAAGAGATCAAGTTTAATAATAGCTTTCAGTTATCTCTCTTTGTGACCTTCATTTGCTTAGAGATTTTCTAAATATCACTGCCTTCTTAAAGATGGAAGAATCTATGTTTGAAGGGCATCAGGAATATTTTAGGACTGTACCTTAAGCTCAGTCCACATCAGGCCACACATCTTTGCTACTTCCTCCAGATAGATACCCAAAGTCCAATTTGGTTGCATTAAGTGTGGGAATTAAAGGAAGAGGATGGAGAGCAGGCGTTGAGTGGGGGAGATGGAAAAGTTTCCAGTTTATGTCCAGAGGATGAATTATTTAATCAACTAAGTCAGTGAAGAGTTTAAATTCAGAAAGTTGGAGGCCATTATTGGCAAAATTCAGATTTCTGGAAAAAATTTTGGCACTATTCCAAGAGCAATTCTTAACTATCCTAGGAATCATTTGGTCCATACTGAAATGGGGAAAAACACAAACATGCATCCTAATTCAATGTTAAGGAATTTAACATCACCAGGTAAGGGAAATAGTAGCAATATTTATGTGAAATTGAGGCTACTTCTCCCAATTACATTTTTCAAAGGTTGTTATTATCTGTAATTTTTTCAAAGAACAAAAAACAAGCTGAATTCAGCTATATGTTATACACACATATACACATACACACTTTTATTTCTGGCTTCTCCTATTCCATATTTTTGTGAGATTTATCCATGTTTCTGTGAGAAGTAGTAACCTGCTATTTGTTTTATTGTGGTATAATCTTCTATTACATGCAATACTATAATTTATCCCGTTTTCTGATAATTCATGTTCTTTCCAATGCTAAGCTATTTTAAGATATATTCTTCATTTTATCATTGATCAAAACAAACCATCAGCCCTGGCTGGTGTAGCTCAGTGGATTGAGCGCAGGCCTGAGAACCAAAGGATCGAGGTTTGATTCCCAATCAGGGCACATGCCTGGGTTGCAGGCCAGTCCCCAGCAGGGGACCCACAAGAGGCAACCATACATTGATATTTCTCTCCTTCACTTTTTCCCTTCCCATCTAAAGATAAATAAATAAAATATTTTTTAAAAGAACCATAAAAAAGCTGTATTTATCAACTACAAGAAGTCATGCAATAATGTCTTCACTGACCTAGGTGCCAATAACAAGTTTACTTCCTCTAAGACATTGTACATTTTCATCCTTATGTACAATTAAAATTATGTAATGAATTTCTGCTCTGGTTTACTTTACCTATAATAATGAAACTCAAAATTGAAGCCCAACTTTAATGTCTCTGAATGACTGGTTTTCTGTATAATCACATATTAACTTTTTCCTGGTTTTAATCTTCTAACTCTATTTCCTCTGAAACTATGTATCTATATAATAGTTTCCAATTTACTGCATGGATTACTGCAATCCTCTTAAACTACACTGTAGAATAAGGCAAGGAAAAAATATAGTATTTAAAATTTACCTGGGGCTCAGTCATTTCCTCTTCTTTCTGGGAATGGGCAGAGCCTGAGAAGGCAGAGCTGGAGAAGAAAATAAAAGCCATTAAACCAGGCTTGCTTTGTGGTTTCAGAAACATGCACTCACAACAGATTAAGGTAACACTATAACAAAATGATATTTGGGTGCATCAGAAAGACCAACAATATTCATAGCACAGAGGTGCTAATAAGTACAAGGATGACTGGAGTGATCATGTGAAGCTTAAGCATAAGGTGAAAAGGAATAGGAGAGCAATTGTGGAAGAGGAGATGCAAAGGAATGGAAAGGAATAGGAGACGTCCCATGAATTTATCCACAGCTCTGCCACAGAGGGTAAACAGTTCGCATGGAGCTGGCTAGCTTCACGAAAGCATATAACCAAGAAAGTTATAAAACTAGCAGAAACCTAAGGTATTTTAGTGTACTGAAACACTTAAAGAGAAACATTTAAGTACCAACTAAATGAGAATTTAACTGAAATGGCAACTATATGGGCATTTAAGCAAAATGGTGACATAGTTGTATTTTGAGGAAGGAGTAGAAAGTTTGTGTGTGAGAGTGAAGTGTATCAAAGACATTGGCAGTGCTGAGTTAAATTCTTATTTTCCACAGTAAAAAAAAATCACTAATTTTAAAAGTGTCAAATAATAGCAGAATAAACATATGATTTGGAAAAATAGAGTAAAAACAAGAAATTAACTATTAGAAAGTGGTTTGGGGAGAAAAGGACAGAGTATAGTCAAACCTCAATTCTCAAACATCTTGGTTCTCAAACAATTCAGGTCTCAACCAAATTGTTCATGGAAAAAATGCCTTGGTTGACTAACAAAACTTCAAATCTCAATTCTCTATGCTACACCCGTATGATCAGTAATGCATCTCTCAGCCGACAAAGAAGATTCAGTTTTCAAACAAATTTCTTCTCGAACAGTTTTCCAGAATGAATTAACTTCTACAACCGAGGTCCCGCTGTATAGTTTTTCTCATTATTATTACAAGCCTGGTAGCAGTATTTGATTTTTTTTAAACAAATTTACATGTCATTTCCCCCCAAAACAAATTTAATTGAGATACTTACGCCACTGATATAGAATCAAGCAATATCGTAGTGTATAAGGAACGTGGATATCCTCTCCTGCCCACATGGACAGCCCCTTTCCCAGTTTTAATTTGACTGAGGAAAATTTACCGTTATTTTACCATACTTCTTCCTTTAATTTTTTCTTTAGTTGTTTTTGGCTTCTTTTAAGTGGTTTTTGTTACTCATTGAGGTTTTATTCATAAAGGATCTTTTAAAAGAAAACTTATGGCCAGATGAATTATAGTGGGAAAGAACAATAACCTGGGAGCAAAAAGATTTGCTTCCCAGTCCTCTATGCTACTAACAAGCACTGTAATTCTGGGAGCCCCATTTTCTTAGAACCATTATAATCAACATTTTTCCTTTTTTTATTGTCGTTCAATTAGAGTTGTCCCTGTTTGCTCCCCATTATTCTCCCCATACCCACCCCTACTGCCCATATTCAATCAGCTTTTAAGAGGACACCAGCATTGTGAAATTCTGTAAAGAAAATTTCATACTTAGTTAAGGATGAACAATCAGCATATTCTTCATCCTTAGATGGCTAGATGTGGCACATAATGTTTCTACCTAAAAATAACCATTGCCCTAAAACTGTGGTACATTTACACAATTGAATACTATGCAGCAGAAAGAAAGAAGGAACTTGTACCTTTTGCAACAGCATGGATGGAAGTGCAGAATATTACTGTAAGTGAAGTAAGCCAGTCAGTGAAAGACAAATACCATATGATCTCACCTATGAGAGGACTCTATTAAACAAAATAAACTAAAGAATAAAATAGAACCCCAAGCATGGAAAGATGAAACGGAATGAAAGTGACTAGAGGAGAGTGGGGAGGAGTATAATGGTGGAAAGAAGGGGAAGGGACTAGACAAAGAACATATACTAATGACCACGGACATTGACAACAGTGTGGGAATTAAATGCAGGAGGTGGTGGAACTGGGTGAGTTGGGCAGAGGAGGGCAAAGGGGGAAAATGGAGACAACTGTAACAAAATAACAATTTTTTTAACTTTTCCAAAAGCTTTAATACACATTACTATTTTTTTCTGGTTTTCTATTGAAATTTTTTAAATTTAATTGTTGTTCAAGTACAGTTTTTTGTCTTTTACTCCCATCCCAGCCCTCCTCCAGTGCTCCCCACCTCCCCCATTTTCACCCCCTTAGTTGTTGTCCATGTGTCCTTTATACTATTTCCTGTAAATCCTTCCCCTTTTCCCCTGAAATACCCTCCCCTCTCCCCTCTGGTCACTCTCAGCTGTTCTCTATTTCAGTGTCTTTGGTTACATTTTGCTTGATATATATACATATATATATAATTGATAATGCCATTACAGTTGTGCCATTCCCCCCTTCATTCCCCCTACTCTGCACACTCCTCCCCCACCATTCTCCCCTTTAGTTTATGTCCATGTGTCACAAGTTCTTTAGATTCTATATTTTCCATACTATTCTTGCCCCCCCTGTCTATTTTCTACCTACCATCTATGCTACTTATTCTCTGTACCTTCTCCCCCCTCCTCCTCCCACTCCCCTGTTGCTAACCCTCCATGTGATCTTCATTTCTATGGTTCTGCTCCTGATCTAGCTGTCCTCTTAGTTTGCTTTTGTTTTAGGTGTGGTTGTTAATAACTGTGAGTTTGGTATCCATTCACTGCTCATATTTTTTATCTTCTTTTTCTTAGATAAGTCTCTTTAACATTTCATATAATAAGGGCTTGGGGATGATCAACTCCTTGAACTTGACCTGATCTGAGAAGCACTTCACCTGCCCTTCCATTGTAAATGAAAGCCTTGATGGATAGAGCAATCTTGGATGTAGGTCTTTGGATTTCATGACTTGGAATACTTCCTTCCAGCCCCTTCTTGCCTGTAAAGTCTCTTTGGAGAAATCAGCTGACAGTCTGATGGGAACTCCTTTGTAGGTGACTGTCCCCTTATCTCTTTCTGCTTCTAGGAATTCTCTCCTTCATTTTAATCTTGGATAATGTAATTATGATGTGCCTTAGTGTGCTCCTCCTTGGGTCCAACTTCTTTGGGATTCTCTGAGCTTCCTGGATTTCCTGGAAGTCTATTTCCTTTGCCAGATTGGGGAAGTTCTCCTTTCTTATTTGTTCAAATAATTTCCACTTGTTGCTGTTCCTCTTCCCCTTCTGGTACCCCAATAATTTGGATGTTGGAACATTTAAAGATGTCCTGGAGGTTCCTAAGCCTCTCCTCATTTTTTTTTGAATTTTTGCTTCTTCATTCTTTTCTGGTTGTATATTTCTTTCATCCTTCTGGTTCACACTGTAGATTTGAGTCCCAGTTTCCTTCCCATCACTATTTGTTCCCTGTGCATTTTCCCTTATTTCACTTAGCACAGACTTCATTTTTTCATCTAATTTGTGACCAAATTCAACCAATTCTGTGAGCATCCTGATTACCAGTGCTCTGAACTGTGCATCTGATAGGTTGGTTGTCTCTTCATCACTTAGTTGTATTTTTTTCTGGAGCTTTGATCTGTTTTTTCATTTGGGCCATTTTTATTTCTTGACGTACCTGTTACATAGTGAGGGGCAGAGCCTCAGGTATTCACCAGGGCAGGGTAACCCACGTTACTGCGTTGTGACACCGTATGTGGGGAAGGGGTCTGAGAGGGAACAATGGTGCTTCTTCTACTCTCTGCCAGCTTTCAGTCACTTCCCCCACTTTCCACAAGCAAATTGGGCCTTTCTGGTGCTGATTCCCGGGTGAGTTGGCTTGTGTGTGTTCTAGGACCCTATGGGTCTCTCCAATGAACTCTCCTGTGAGGCTGGAAGTTCCTCCTGCTGGAGCCTCAACCCCCATCGGTGTTTTCAGGCTTTATTTCCCCATGCTGATATCCTAGGTTGCATGGTCTGTCTTGCTTCCCAATTGTTCCTCTTGATTTATCTGTGCACAAATGTGGGAACTCCTCCTCCACAGCCACTGCCAAAGTCTTGCTGGCCAGCTGCAGCCTTGTGTACCCCATACACAATCCAGTGCTGGGTCTGCCAGCTGCTGCCTTGCCCAACCTGGTCCTCCACCACTTTGCCATGAGTCCTGTCCGCACTCACATCTCTGCCCCTCCTACAGGTCTGGATGAGAGTGTCTTCTTTAACTCCTTGGTTGTCAAACTTCCATATAGTTCGATATTCTGTCAGTTCTGGTTGATTTTTGTTTTTAAACTGTTGTCCTTCTTTTGGTTGTGAGAGAAGGCACAGTGTGTCTACCTATGCCTCCATCTTAGCCGGAAGTCCACAAATTTGTTTTTTTGATACCATAAATGACTTGATATCACAAATGATAAAATCTTTTCAACATTTGGCCTCTACTTAGCTATCTTACTTCCAAAAAAATAAATGATGTCGCCAAAGTTAGCATCAATACTTTTAAGGAATTCCTGGAGTTGGTGATGATTCAATCCCTTGGCTCTTATGAAATTCACAGTCTTGATGATGGTTTGCATAATATTATCCATTTTTAAAGCTTTTATGCATAAATTTTCATGATGTACTAAGCAATAATACTTCATCAAATGTGAGTTTAGGGCAGCAATTGCATTGTCTTCTATTAATTTTACAAGTCCCATCATCAGGGAACTATCAGTAAATAAACCAGATATGTTGACAACGGGCAAAGAAAATCGCTTTAACATAGCTTTTACTTCATATAAATCTCTTGATTTAGTTGTGTCTTTTCATAGCAGTAAAGAAGTCATTGTTTCAGTGACATTATACTAGTCATTAATGCCTCTAATAAAACTGGCAGGTTGAGCCATGTCTGTAGCATCAGTGCTATCATCCATCACCAAAGCATAAAATTTTAAATTAGCAGCTTTACTCCCCAAGCTTCTTTCAACAGACTTTAAAATTTCTTCAATTTGCCTGGCTATAGTCAGGTGAGACAAACTGATTTTACAAATATTCCCCTTTTTTTCAGGGCAAATTATATC